CAAGCTCTTCCAGAGGCACAGGAGCCCCCAGCCAAGCCCTGTGCTAGGTGTGTCATGGCACAACACGAGCACGGCCCAGAACAGAGTAACCGACTTCTTGGGCCACAGAGAAAAGTGTTATTAAAACCTGGACTATAAGTGGCCAAAGGAATGACCCAGAACAGGGAGCTCACTGACCCTCTGGAATGCAGGGGTAATGTTGCCTGGCTTTTACAGTACAATCAAATCCTCCAGCCCAGGTCTCTGTGGATAAAACTGCTGCAAGAGAGGGTCAAACCAGAGGTGGTGAGAAAACACACACCCTGCCAGAAGGAACGAATCCCCCCGAGAGCTGTGCCTGCCTCAGCGTGGGGTGACTGCCGAGCACCTTTGTGATACCAAATATGGGGATTGCTCATCACACCAGGGAATCAAAAGCAGAAGATAAAGACTAAATCAATCACTGATCAAATTAATATTTAAAAAGTCATCTTCCTTCCCTTTCATCTGATCCCACCCTTTAAATCAGACATCTTCACTAATTTACCATGGTCTGACAGAGAGTTCGGGGAAGTGCCTGACAACAGAGACTCAGAGGATGCTGAAAACCTTGGTCTCCTCTGGCTGTGGAGTGGCACTGCCACGAGGAAGGTGTGAAGGTCTCAGCATCCAGTGGTCTTACAGAGGTGTTGGAATAGGTTATTACAGCTTTTCATAGTCATCCTCAACTAGAGTTTATCTAAATTAGAAACAAACTCTCCCCAGTCTCTAATAAATCTGTTTTCCTCCATTTTCCTGATTTCAGAACCCCTTGATAAAGGAGCCAAAGGGAGGAAGGAGGCTGCAGTGGCCATGGCTGTGCAGCACTTGTCCTTCCTGGCCAATCTGCAGCTAATTACAAGTTAAATGCCCTTTACCACATTGAATTTTGGTCCCCATTAAGCAAACTCATGGCCAGCTAACGTCAGGGAATGCTGCTGGCCCAGAGCTGCTTCCCCTGGCTGTGCACACCCTAACCCAGGGTGTGCCATTGGCCAGACACCAGTAATTAAACACATCCATGGAGCGTTTTAAGCTGGTTTCAAATGCACCAGCTGAAATTTCAAAGCAGCTGACTATAATTAGAAGCTCCCTGGGAAGGAGGTCACTGCCATCTGCACGGGGATTTCAGCTCCTGCAGCCCCTTCCCAGGTTTCTGAGCCAGGGGCAGCCGAGCTGGGGCGGTTCTGAGCCAGGGGCAGCTGAGCTGGGCAGTTATAGTCTCTGGGGACGTCACGCTCAGACTTTACAGACACAAACAGCATGAGCCATATGTACAGACCCAAACAGAAGCCCAGAACAGCCTGAACACACACGCTGGGAAATCGCAGTATTTCCCTTCCTGTGCTGATCACAGGATGGAGGGATGCCCAGCCCTGCTGCATGGGACTGGTCCAAAGCCATTGGCACTCACGAGAAATACCACCCTGGAAATTCCCACAACAAAGAGCTTGAATTTTTGTTTGGTAAATACTCAGAATCACAGAACCACTGAGGCTGGAAAAGACCTCCAAGAGCATCGAGTCCAACCTATGACTCATCAGCACCTTGTCAGCAAGAGCAGAGCACTGAGTGTCCAGCTCTGAATAGTCTGTGGTTTGTGAGAGTTGCCTCATTTTCCTGGAGAGCTTTTCTCACACGGTGCTGCACCAGCCTTTCCCCAAACACCAGGGCCCTCCCTGGGGGTGCCAAGAACCACTAGCCCCCACTGGAATCCACTGTGGTGGAGCCACTGGAGCTGAGAGTACCTGAAGCCATTCAGGAAGCTCTCAGGGCTTGGCCAACCCATGGCACCAGGTAATCTAATTAGTGCAGTTGCTAATCTGATTCTTTCAAGCAAGAATCAAACCAAAGTTTGATTTTCAAAGGCAATTTAGAAAACATAACACCAAACTACTCCATTCCTTGTAACTGAGACCAGATTAATTTCACAGCTTCAACGTTAGAGGCTGTTAGTGGGGACTTTCCAAGGGCTGCAGCAAGTCTGTTTGGGATGTGTGTTAGCCACCCATGGAACCAACACAGCACTGACGTATGGCTGGAGGAGAAGGAACTTCTCTGCAGGACATCCAGGCAGTGCCAATACATCAGTTGGTTATATAGACTTTAATGTCCTCTTCAGGAAAATAAAGTCACCTATGGAAAAACCCTTAACCACCTACAGCCTGAGGGAGGAGGAGGCTAAGTGGAGGTAGGAGCTGCAGTGCTGGTGTGAGTCCCTGCCAGGCCCTGCGGGACCTCGGGTGATGCTGGGCTGGGCTGGGTTCTGCAGGGTGGGCACTGCAGCATGGCCTCACTGCCAGCTCTGCTGGGGCCAGGCTGGAAGCTCTCTATGCCTCCTCAAATTCCTTTGGGGATCTGAGTAACAGCCAAGGGATAACGACTTGGAAGAGATATGGATGAGTTCACAGCAGGACACTGAAAGCTGTGACGCAGCATGGCAAACACACAACATGGTCACATCACATCAACACTGAGACAACACCCAAAGCACCCAACAAGAGGGCACGGGTGTTCCCTGTGCTCCTAGGCCCTGGGGAAAGGCAGTTCAGAGATCCACTGCTGCAAACCAGCTGTGGAGCACAAGGCAAAGCTCTGAGACAGGAGCAGATGACAAATCCCACCAAGCCCCAGGAAGCGCTGGTGACCTGGGGGAGACACCACAGAGGGTGTGGAGAAACCCCTCCTTGTGCCTTGCTGAGTGTGTAGGACTCAAGGATGCAAAGGGGAGAGCATTTGGGGACTGTGTAAGGCTTATTATGGGATGTTCATGGGAACTAGCAAAGGGAGGGACCAAGGTGGACCAGCAAGGAACACTTGGTGGGGAAATAGAGGCATAACACAAGCAATGTAACAGTTCTGTAGAATTCCCCTAGACAGGTAAGAACCTGAGGGCTCTTCCTGGTATCCGAGATGTGAACACCATCAACAGACACTGACATGGATAAACAAACTCCTTACAAAGCATCCTACTGGTTTTTACAAATAGTTTGACATTTCTCTAGTAAATGTAAACCAGGCTTGAAGCAAGCTCCAGTCTCAACACCCACCCCCACCCAGCTCAGCTGAGCCCAGCACTGTTCCCTGCCTGCCCATGGCACAGGTGCTAGGAAAAGCCCAGAGCAAGACGTACCAGCCTGCGAATCTCCCTCTCACACTCCCTCTTGATCCTGGTGATCTCCTCCTGGTGCAGGTGATACACACTCCTGATCTCTGCTGCTTTGATCTTATCAGCTTGGATCACCATGGTCAGAGCCTCCTCCACTTGTTTCTTAGCTCCCTTCAGCTCAGAGATCTCCTGCTGCATTTTGATTTTCTCCACCTCGAAGCCCTTCTTGGCCTCCTCCTTGGCCTCGGAGAGCAGCACCGTCTTCACCTTGTCAGGAGCTCCATCACGCACGGCGTTCAGCAAAGTCTCTGGATTGTCCTTGATTTTTATCACTCTGAGCAGCTCAGCCTCGTGCTGCCTCAGCAGAGCTTCCCGGACAGCTTGGAGCTCCTTCATCTTGTCCTCATGGAGCTTGACCTTGAGCTCGGTGACCACCACGGTGCTTTTGTGCTGCTCGTGCTCCTTGATCTGCTTCACCTCCTGGTTCTTCTCCCTTTCCAATTTGCTGACCTGCAAGGCAGGATTTTTATCACTCTGAGCAGCTCAGCCTCGTGCTGCCTCAGCAGAGCTTCCCGGACAGCTTGGAGCTCCTTCATCTTGTCCTCATGGAGCTTGACCTTGAGCTCGGTGACCACCACGGTGCTTTTGTGCTGCTCGTGCTCCTTGATCTGCTTCACCTCCTGGTTCTTCTCCCTTTCCAATTTGCTGACCTGCAAGGCAGGTGAAACAAGTGCACGACAGTCAATGAGCAAAGTGATTGCAATCAAAGCTCTCAGTGCAGCCAGAGCCTCACAAACAGATAAATATTTACCAGGGAAAGTTGTAGTGAAAGAAACAAAGGACATAAACAGCTTTCAGCCCCCATTGTGATTCTGCCACCTGCTTGGTCAGATGTTTGTTTTTCCAGCTCTTTTGATGGTGTTTAGCTGTGATTTTTCAGCTTCCTTTCTCCCTGATGGCAGGAGCAGCCTGGTCAGCCCCACTGCTCGGCTTCCCACCAGGAGCTGTCCCACCACAGCTCCCTCCCTTCCAGAGTTCCCTTGTACTATAAACACTCCATAAATCACAGAATCCCAGACTGGTTTGGGTTGGAAGGACCTTCAAATTATTCAGTTCCACCCCCTGCCATGGGCAGGGACACCTCCCACCAGCCCAGGGTGCTCCCACCCCCATCCAACCTGGCCC